ATGGCCCTCCTCAACATGATGCAGAAACAGACTAAAAGAGAGCTGTCAATGCACAGAAGCATAATAAGTGACATTAACAGTATCTAATAACACACACTATCTCTCTACCAGCATCTCGCTCTCTCCTCTTCTCCACACACACACGTGCACACACTTCACCTCCTGATGCTTTCCTTATAGGTCAGTTACACAGGATATAGTTTTATACAGTCCATGGCAGCAACAGTCATGTTTACAACAACAAAGTCACTATTTAAAACCCAATAATATTTCACTGGAATATAAATATTCCTCCTGACATCACAACACTGAGTAAAGAAAGTCACATTATCTCAGCATGAAGACAAACATCAGTATCAGTCATTCATCCTGCTCTCTGTCCCTCCTCTGCTGAGGACACTCACTGTCTGCAGGTCGCTGCCTCAGGTACATGTTCAGATAAAGTGTTAGCCTATATACAGACAGCTTTCATTTTAGTTTGTCTTCAACACTTTGCTGTTAGCCTCGCGAGCACGATGTGCTTGTGTCGACCACGATCGTAAATCATAATAGCGCTGAATGAGAGAATCATATTTCAACGACAGAGCAGATTGAAATATGGCTTTCTACATGTTGATCACATGTTTTGATAAAGTATTGGCTTTTTACCGGCAGAGGTTTTATCGCACTTAATCACAGTAACAAGCGTAGTTGTCGTTAACTAGAGTAATCATGAAGTTAGGCCTACATTCCCTTCATCTGCACCACGGCCTCTCTGCTGATGTCTGACTTCACTCTGTTGTGAGAGCAGGAGAGAGGCTGCAGGATGATATATATATAGGCTTAGATAGATAGATAGATAGATACATAGATAGAGAGATAGATAAATATTGCTGGTAGGTCTCTGGCAGTAGGCTACATGGTGTTAGGCCTACATATTAACTGAGGAAAATATCTTTACCGGAGATGATGACTCGAGGGTCGACGTTTAAAGATTTCCCTGCTCTACAATCACCTAACAGAACACCTGAGCGCTTCAGGTGATGATGAAGCTGCTTGTTGTGAGACAGAGAGAANATGCAGAACAGCACCCAGGCATAAATCAACAATTAAATCTTGGTATTTTTATTCGGGTGTAATAAAATTTTAAAATTGTAAATTGTAATAAGCATTAAAAGTCCAACTTCTTTCAAACTGGTGTTTGGGTGAGACGCTGATTTAGTTGCAGTTATACAGCCGTCCAGTAGGGGACGAAAAACAAGGGGTCTAGAACTGCGGGTCCAGAATTGCGGGTCTGAATCTGCAGTCTCCGGGTCTGCAGAGACATACTATTGGGGGGCAAAGAGCATGGATACCAAGAGGCGAAGCTCCGTTGAATTTCTGCCAAAAGCCACCAGGGGCGCTGCTGTAGCGCTGCCGCCATCTTGGAGTGTTGAGCTTAGACTGTTGCGTCCAGACAAGAAGAACAAGATGTCAAGGAGAGAGGAGAAAAAAAGTTAAAGGAAACAGTGTAGTGCAATTAACTGCAACAACTATCAGTGGAACAATCCGCACCTGGCCTTCCACCGTTTCCCGAAGGATCCCGACAGGTAAGAACTCCTGACGTTTAAGTTTTGAAGTGTTTTAATATCAATTTAATATGCCAGTTTTGGAGGGAAGGTAACACACACACACACACACACACACACACACACACATATATATATATATATGGCCTCTTGGACCATTTATATCAGAACTGATTACTGCTTTAGCATTAAAATATATCATATTAAAATAGCCTATATATTATTATTATTACTGTCCCCTTACTGTACAAACTGTAAATAAATCTTTATTCCTGACTATGTGACGTCACCATTAATGTGTTTCTAGTTAAAATATTGATTTTATTATTATTATTATTATTGTTTATTTATTTATTTTTTGGTAGATTGGCTTATGGGGTGATTTTGAAGGAGTAATTAAGTTAATCTTCTCATAAGTGGATGTAATATGTAGAGATGCCATCTAGGCCGTTTTTCTTCGGTTTGGTTTTTTTAAAGTCTATATTTTGCTTTACAAAAACGTGAAAAAGCAGCTGTGACCAAGCTATCACGAGGTGAGTAGCATTGTAAGCATAATTAATAGCGATATACTTCAGTTTTTCTGTGTGTTTTTGTATGCAAGTGGGTCTGCTGCGGTCTGCTGACAGTCCAAAATGGCGGCGAGTCTGTTGCTATGGGCGTTCTATTGAGCTTCACCTCTTAGTATCCATGCTCTTTGGTCTACAGCAGCCCTCAGCACAGGAACTCACAGCAACACTCACATCCTGATTTCAGATTATTAAAGGAAAACTTCACCCACACATTTTTAAATGGAAAGTCATGCCACTCTGTCGTGGAGTGTCACAGTGTGTGATCACCTTCACAGCTGAGTGAAGCACGCTTTGGGACACACTTTCCTCTCCGCAGCAGAAAGAGGAACTGTCATAACTTCTCATAACCACAGAGAAAAGTTAAACTCCCATTTTATGTTCCTCATATGTATTTATAGCACTTCTATTTAATCTGTATGTGCTGCTAGGCCTTCCTGAATTTTGTATATTGTGTTTTTATCATGAAAAGAAGTAAAAAAAAAACTTGATGGTTGAGATAAATAAATAAATAGAAATAAAACTTCTTTGGCAGCATTTCTTTTTTTTTTTGCAAACATCTTTTGGCTCTTTTTGTTCATAAGCTGCTTGGTTTTGTAAGAGTACTTGTAATCATACGGCACAGCTATCGAATGAACGTGTTTTTTAGCGACGTATTTTATCCTAAATACACTTCTCAGAAAATTAAGTCAGTTAAACTTCAGGGATATCAATGTCTCCATTCAGGAAGCACAAGTGATTGTGAATCAGTTTCACTTGCTTTGGTGCAAANTGGATTACTGCACAATGTTTCCCAAAGTTATCAATAACTATATGACTTTATGAAACCCACATACCAAAACAGTTAATCTGGTGTGAGCCTTTACTTTCACTTTGCACCGCTACACAAGCAGTCACCGACACCCTGCCAAGTCTGTCTCTCAAAGTTACTGTGTGAACATAATGAGCTGATAAAGGAGGAAAAGTCTGAACTCACCGTGGACAGTGTGACGAGCTGTCAGCTGAGTTGTGTTACAGGTGATGGTGTGAAACCAGCGGTAACTCAAAGGAACAGAAACAAGCGTCTTTATATCCTCGGCTGAGGAGATGCAGAACAGAGGAGGCAGCAGGGGGGCAGTGCCTCAAAATTCATGTCCTCCTATTTGGTAAAGCTGGACAGTCTACAGCAGCCCTCAGCACAGGAACTCAAAGCAACACTCATATGCTGATTTCAGGTTATTAAAAGGAAAACTTCACCCACACATTTTTAAACGGAAAAAGTCATGCCACTCTGTCGTGGAGAGTCACAGCGTGGGGTCACCTTCACAGCTGTGTTTACCCCCTTCATCACGATGTAGGGGCTAAGCACAGCAGCAAGCTTTGGGACACACTTTCCTCTCCGCAGCAGAAAGAGGAACTGTCATAACTTCTCATAACCACAGTGAAAAGTTAAACTCCCATTTTATGTTCCTCATATGTATTTATAGCACTTCTATTTAATCTGTATGTGCTGCTAGGTCTTCCTGAATTTTGTATATTGTGTTTTTATCATGAAAAGAAGTAAAAAAAAAAAAAAACTTGATAAATTGAGATAAATATGTAAACAAATAAATAGAAATAAAACTTCTTTGGCAGCATTTCTTTTCTTTTTTTTGCAAACATCTTTTGGCTTTTCACTCAGATGTTTATAAGCTACTTGGTTTTGTAAGAGTACTTGTAATCATACGACACAACTATCAAATGAATGTGTTTTCTAGCGACGTATTTTATCCTAAATACACTGCTCAGAAAATTAAGTCAGTTAAACTTCAGGGATATCAATGTCTCCATTCAGGAAGCACAAGTGATTGTGAATCAGTTTCACTTGCTTTGGTGCAAATCAAAGCGACAACAGGTGCAATGGAGAGGCAAAAGCAAGACAACCCCAAAAAGGGAATGGTTTTACATGTGGTGGCCACATGTCTGACTGTATATATAATATAAATACATATAATAAAACCACCATCACTATAAGCAAATCATATTTTCAACAAACTATCCTTTTATGATTTTCCATTTATGTACATGACTTATGTAACAAAGCACCTCTTCTTGGCAAGAGGAGCGATTTTTATGTCAAAAAGTCTTTTTAATGCAAATCAGCATGAAATATTAATACTTAAGCAGCCGCTCTTTTTATGGATCTACTTTAACTCACCCCTCCTGTATCGTTCTTGATAGTGATCCTCAGTTTCCCAGAACGCAGTGTGACAAACCCTTTTGAGATTTTAAAGCTTTACTTTAATAGAGGTGACCACTGCAGTAGTTAAAGGCAGGTATTAAAACAATGAAAGCAGAATATATTTTTAAATACAACACTGTCGTAAATCAGTTCAGGGAGGACCCAAATGCAGAGTAACAGGCAGGTTCAAGTTTTAACAAAAAGCGAGCTCTAATGCCAGGGCCACACTGCCTGCGAAGCGCAGCGCACCAAAATTCTCGCGCAAGCCGGAGCACCTCCGTTCACATCAGACGCGCATTTCTCTGCGCCTGTCGACAAGCGGCTCGCGCAGAAAATAGACCAGATGCCGAAATGATCGCTGCAGGGCCGGCGGCGGAGCTGCGCGGCGCGGCCGGTGTGGATGACACAATCGGTTAACATGGGCGCCGAAAGGAAACTGGCTTCACTTCGAGGCGCTTCGAGGCTATTCGCGGCGCTTCCGCGGGCGGTGTGGCCCTGGCCTAATGCAGCTGATAAAAAACAGTCAGAACAAGCAGGTAACTGACAGTCCAAATAAAAGCAGAAGCAAAACTCTCAAACTTAACTGAAAACCAACCGGGAAAATACGATGAACACAACGAAGAACTTGGGGAGGAAATCCAAAACATAACATGAGAGACCAGGGGGGTATTCCATCAACGTAGCTAAGAATAGCTATCCAGACTAAGGTGTAATCTTGAAGTTTGACTAAACGCCAACTCCCAATCTAGCTCCAACCCGTTCCATCAAGTGAAATCAGCTGGCTCCAATTGACCCTAATTCAAGCATCACCTGTTAAGCCTCAACTCATGCACGCGCCCAGGGAAAATAAAAAGCCCAAACTAGTCGAGTGCCGAAAATGTTGCAAAATGTCAAAAAGCAAAGGAAAGGAGCGAGAGGAGGCTTTTTCTGCGGCGGAGCAAACGCTCTTTATGGAAGTGTATGAGGACTATAAGGACATAATCAAGAAAAAGGCAATAGGCCTACTGCAGCAATTAATAAAGCAAGGGAGGTGGCGTGGAAGAATATTGCTGACAGGCTTAATGCGCAAGTGACAAAGAAAATTCAGCATTTCAGCATAATATCATGTTCTATAAATCCCACATCAAAGGGGCAAAATATATGTAGATAAGAACACCTATTAAATCTAACAATTCAAGTATTCCTAATGAAATTCACCAAATGTGTAAATTAATATTAGTGATAGACTGTTTATCACATTTATCTACTGATTCCTATGTACATTTCAGATGATGCATTTAATCAAATTATTTTTGTGAATCATCGCATTTATCACATAATTAATTGTAGATTATGACATTTCTGAAATGATCAGTTTATAGGAAATAATCACATTACATTTATCTATTGATTGTAGAAAATTCCATTTAGCAAATCCATCAATTCAGCGGAGATGAGGAAAACTATGAAGTGAATGCAGGTGATAGTGAATCAATTATCTATTTCTCATCATTTGGGAGTCAATTGTAAGCTCTATCCCTTATTATATCGAAATAAGGAAAATCCCCTTACATGTATGGAATGTGCTATAGGATGAGGAACAGACAGACCACAATGGTGTGTGTCCCATTTTAATGTGGTTGCTTTGTGTCATGGTTAATTCATAAATACAAAAGATAACCTATGTTAACGTGAACAAATCAAGCCCTATTCAGGATGTATGGTGACGCTAGAAATAATCAAAATGAATACAAAATACACCCTTTTTAACTCTGTGCAAACAGTTGCCTTACTTAGCCTCTCAGCATCACCAACACTATACAGGAATGTACCGCTAGCAAAGAACCTCAGTGCAATACAGACTGCCTGCACAGTGGTCAGAGACTGGCTGCGGTGTGTGACCTTTATAATGTGTGGTTCCAGCAAACTGCATAGATACACTATGCTCTGCCTGCTGAACCGGTACCTCTCCCACAGATAGGAGTCTGTCTGTATCAATGGGTTGGTCCTGTCCTGGAAGACCCTTGGGGCTGGTGGTGGTTGAGGATCCTGTTGATGAGGAGGCCCACATTGTTCAGTGGTCCTCCTCATCAACAGGATCCTCGATGAAGGGGCATGCCATTATTTCCTAATTTACTCTCTCTTGCTCTGTCTCTGTGTGTGTCCCACTCCTTATATGGCCGTTGTCAGTTGACCTTAACTGGCTGTGAATTTGCAAGCCAGTTGGAAACAGAGTGGGGTGGGGATGGGAGGGCAATCGCATATTCTTATACAATCTTTTTTTAATGCCTCAGTTTCATTTTATTATAGTTTTGTTTTTATTAAATTGATTTTGGCTTTATTGTTGTGTTTTTTTTAAATTATCTTATTTTTATTACATTTTAATTTGTTTTTTAATAGCCTAGTTATTTTTTTTATTAATTATGTTATATATTTTATGATCGACATATTATTTTATCATTACATGACAGTTGTGAGTGTGTAAAAACACTGGCAGG